AAGAAAGGAGGGAAAAAAAAGATCAAAGATGTTCTTACAATCACCTCTAAGTGGATACAGGAGGTGGAAGTGTTTTCATGCATGTGCGTGTTGCAGCCCACGTGTTTTATGGGGAATGCAGATAGTCGACAGAAAGGCTTTACATTTTGCTGACTACATACATCAATTTTCTTCATTTATTATAAACTTTGAGGAATATTAATCATCGGCCAGGGATTGTGTTGAGTGCAGTTTGGAATACTTAAGGGTCACTCATGCAAGAGCTGCTGAAGGAATGAAATAAGAGATGCTCATCTCGTGTTATACCCAAGTGAGTCAAATAATAACAACAGAATCTGAGAGGCCACAGAGCCATATTCCCATATTTACCCATATTTGGGTGTGTTTGTGTGTGTGTGTGTGTGTGTGTGTGGTAGAGGATTTGAAGCTGTCACTTTGTAATTACCTCAGCAAATACAGGCTTGGAGAGAGTTGACTGAAGTCTTCCAGTTGGACAGCCCTGGGAGAAAATGAGAAGTGACAGGCCACATAACACAGCGTGGGACGTAAATAACTTTTACCCCCCTTTCTCTCTCTTCCTCGCTCTCTCTTCGTCATAGAAACATGGATGATACTTCAAGGATTTTGAAAGAGAGAGAGAGGGAGAGAGAGGGAGAGATGAGCCGAAATGAGAGAATATCCCTCTCTTTCATCTTTTGAAAAAATCTCTGACATCCTCTCTCACTTGCTTTGATGAAAGTCTTTGGGTTTTTTTTTTTGGTGTTTTATCCTCTTACATGAGGTGTATGTATTATAGCCTGCGTGCTCCAGTGTGTGACGCATTCACACACACACATGCACGCAAACACACACGCATTCACACTGGCACGCACCGATATCATTCTCTCACCAGAATGTGTGTAGGTGTCATGAGGAATTGTGTTTTGTGTACGCATGTGTGCGCGTGTGTTTGAAGGACTTTTCTCAGAGCCTGTCGGCATTGGAGGGCCTGAATTTTTCATTCGGCGTCCTCGTCAAGTACAAAAAGTCCAGGGTTTTGTGTTCTACCCAGCAGCCACTTGCCTTTATTTCTGTTGTCCAGGACTTCCTTTACTGTCCTGTGTTCTTTAAGCTCCAGGCAGGTTGTTACTGAGACAGAAACACTGTTGTTACAGCGCATGCATGTGTATCAATCAGTGCCGTGTATGTGTCAGTGTGTGTCCTGCATTGATCACTGAAGAAGCACTTCCACATTGGCAAAGACTGATGATATGTCTGCGAGCAACTTCAACCCCCGTATATGTACATTGACAGTATACACACACACACACACACACACATATTCACACAAATGCATAGTATACATCCTTTTATGCTTTACCATCCTGCTTCTGGCTCTTTATCATCAGTGTCTTTCTGCTGTTTCTTTCTTCTCTCCCGCCCTCTTTGCACCTCCACCACTCTGCCTGGCTCTAGTCCAGCTATAGATTGTTAATTGTGGTTTGTACGTGATGCAGGGTCTCGCCTCCAAATACTACAGCGGTGTTCTTTGGCAGACATCAAAGTGTCGGTGTTTCATTCCATGGGGATTAGTGATGGTAGTGTGTGATAATGCCCCTGCCTGCTCGCTGAATTAAATGCCCATGGCTGGGTGCAGGTACCAGGAATCTAATGAACACGCAGTCTTACAGGCAGTCATACACACTACGTACGCTAAAACAATGGGAGAAACACGCAGTTTAGGCAGACACACATGGTAAAACCACTGTGAGAATCAGAGCCTCATTACGGAAAAATACATACATTAAACTGTGAACTAAACATCACGTCTTCCATCTGACGGGGAAAAAAGCTTTTTATTAGCCAATCTGTCCACAAAGATCCACAGTACATGTCCTTCACTCATCTCTCATCTTTCACCCTGTGGCAAACTGGATTTTTAAACGTCTCATTTTTGATCATTCCCCCATACTCATATTCGACTGGTTTTCTCTCTCACTGTCTGTTTTTCTCATCCTCTTTCTCTCTTTCTCACCAGCAAAGTTAATAAAAAAAAAAGAATTAGTAATAACACAACAAGATAGATAAAAAGCGCAGTCTCTATAGCAACTCTCGCCATGATTTGTACAAAGGACAAATGACAAGTGTTTAAAGGGCTGCGGGGCGTTTTAATGTTCAGTTTATGTTTTCTCTCGTCGACTAAGAAGGTCTCGGGAGACCGCAGGAAAAACAGCCATGAAAGAGAAATTACAGAGACAGACCGAGGGAGAGGCCGAGGGAGGGAGAGTGATAGAAATACGTCCTTGGTGATCAATGCATGTGCTATTGTCTGTTCTGTTTCTTTGCCTGCAAGGACGAAAGCAGAGGAGAGGAGGCAAGTGATGCATACGAACAGGGTTTTAAGGGGCTTATAATAAATTCCTGACCAGACCACAAAAAGAAGTAACTGCACTGCTGCTAGTGTTTAGGTGTGTCTCTGTGTCAGGACATGTTTCATACTGTATGTATGAAAATGTTGCTAGACTTTGTCGCTGCTATTCAGGTCTTTTAATTGAATTGACAACCACACTCACAGGAGATTTAACAGGCGACTCACAGGTAAACCATGCAAGTACCAGGCTGGAACCCCTTTTGTATTTGGAATCTCCTGCTCCACAACATCCCAAAATATCTGGGGAGGTCCTTTGAGCACTATGAACTCATAGTCATGTTCAATTAACCAGTTTGAGATGAAGGGTACACAGTGATCGTGAAGGGATGGACATGGTCGGCAACAGTATTCAGGTAGGTTGTGGAGTTTCAGCAATACTCAGTTGCTACTAAGGGGCCCAAAATGAGCGAAGAAAATATCCCTGACGCCATTGCAACACCACTAAATACACTCGTGAGAGTGGACCAGGAGTTTTGATATTCTGTTTTCTAATTTTGGTGAGCGTGTGAGGATAGTAGCCTCAGTCTCATGTTCTTAGCTGAAAAGGTTTTATGTGCTGTGCATTCAGAGATGCTCTTACTACCTTGGTTGTAAAGAGTGGTTATTTGAGTTACCATTGGTTTCCTATCAGCTCAAAGCAGTGTGGCCATTCTCCTTGAACCTTTGACATCGAGAAGGCTCTTGTGTCCAGAGAACTGCTGCTCACTTGATATTTTTGCTTAATGGGACGATTCTCCAAAAGAGGGAAACCTTAGAAATAGTCATGTGGGAAAAATCCCAGTAGCTCAACTAGGCCAAAATTTCTTAATTCACATTTCTCCCATAATCTGATGCTCAGTTTGAACTTGAGCAGGTCATCTTGACCAGTGGTCCCCAACCTTTTTTGCGCCACGGACTGGTTTATGTCCGACAATATTTTCAGGCCAGGCTTTAAGGTGTCGCGGATAAACACAACAAAATAAAACCAGTACCACTACCAAACAAACCAAACCAAAAATAAATAAATTCATTCATAACAAACGGGAAAAGATGCAGGGAAACAGAGTTAATGATAAAAACGATAAAAATAACGATAAAAGCGATAAAAACCCTGAAAACCATAAATTTCACACCTCTGGCAGCCCGGTACCAAGCGACTCACGGACCATGGCCCGGGGGGTGGGGGCCGCTGATCTTTACTATGTCTACATTCCTAAATGCCATAAGATTAGCTGATTAGCCAATAATGGGCAGCAGAACAGGTATATAATAAATAAATACTTTCAGGATCTGTAAAAAAAATCATAACATAATGGTAAAAAAAATTGCAATTCTATAATGTCTAATTTGCCATAGTTGTAGTACAAAAAATTAATTAGCTGATTTTGGCAGGGTCATGTATGAGACACACACCAATATTCATGAAGTGAGCCAAATAATAACTGACAATGAGCTGATGAAGAAGAAAGAAATATGAGCACTTCCTGATTAGTTTAAATTCAACCTCCATGCTGCTGAAATTTGCCTGGAAGACAAATTAACAATAATTTGTCATAAATACTTCTTAGTTTGGTGTTCAATTTCAGCTTTAACCTGCTGTACCTGCTGTAGTTGTGTTATTATCAGTATTAGATACTCATGTTTGGTGTTATAGTTTAGTTCATGTCAGACATTAGTACCTATATATCACCCTATGTCAGAATTTGCAGTAGGTGTATTGCAGTTTTATACAGAAATGTATAGTAGAGCCAAATTATTCCCTGAAAAATAGATAAATAAATAAAAATAAGCCCCGAGCCCTAAAGGCTAAGATGGAGTTGGTGTGAAAGTGTAAACTGCATCACTTATGTGATTATTTCTGTTCTTCACGGGTTTTAAAATGCGTGTTTTTTACTGACAACACTTTAATCCTCTCCTCTGTTTATTATTGTGACATCCTCATCAGCAGTCTGACATGCTTCTTCAGTGTACAGGCTGTCATTCACACTTGCTTTCTGCTTTCCTCACACTGTAAATATCTGTAAATATACTATAGATATGTGTTGAGGTTCGAGACCAAAGAAAAAGAGGCAGACAGACAAATAGACAGAGACAGAAACACCTCAACAGGACAGAAAAATGACCTTTATTTGTCCTTATGAACTGGTTTAACAGCACGTGGTGGTAAAAGAAAGAAAGGCACAGATAAGGATGGCAACAACAAGGGGAAGAGGGGAGTCTGCGCCAGATAGTGAAAGAGGCAAAGATAAAAAAAAAAAGGGCATGCCGGAAAAAGAAAACACACCAAAAAATGAGAGAGAGAGAGAGCCTTAGCAGCCAGACAAACAGCTCTCTCCACCTTTAATCACCTCCTGCAGGTCAGCTTCTGCCTCGCCTTGACTTGCCACAATCTTCCAACTAACACTGAGCCAAGCCATCAAACAGCTATCTCTTCTTTTGCCTCCCCTTCTCTCTTTTCTCTTCTTTCTCTTTACACAGACAGAAAAGCAGAAAAGACCTTGATGTTTTTCCAATAATTGGCAGCAGAGGTTGACTTTTTTCCCTCTACTCCCCTCCCTCTTTTTCTGTTTATCTTTTTCTTCTGTTTTTTTTGCTCTTCCTCTTCCTTTAGAGATGAATAGTTGGCCCGGGATCAAAGGCAGACCCCAACCAGCCATTCTGACCACCACAAAGGGGCGTTGGGCGCTGGCTTGGGGCCAGGTGCTACACATGGCCACATAGCCAGGGACAAGCCGTGCAGATGGGGCCCCCAGAGCCCTTGTCGCCTCCACCCCCTCTGCTGCATACGAGAGGTCAGCGGCTAAAGTATCAGAGCGTGCGCTTCCTGTAAGACGATCTAGCCTCGTGCAACTCATTCCATTTTGTTCCCATCTGTCTTTGTCTTATATTCATGTTTCAGTTTGTCAATTTGTTTACTTCCTGCAACTGCTATGCCTTTGTTTCCTTCCTCACCTATCGTGCACTCTTCTTCTCTGACTCTGTTTTTCTTTGCTGTTCCAGAGTATGGATCTGAAAGAAACTGTCTGGCTGTACAACGGGAACAGAACCAGCAGAGGTAAACATTTTTGCCCTTGTGGACAGAAACATGTTTAAATGTTAAAGAAGACCCGACTTGAGTTTAGTCGAACACTTCCCCTTACTCTCAACAGTCCTTGTTTAAATATATAAGTCCTGCAGCCAAGTCCGATGCAGCCGCAGCCAGTACAAATAAATTCTTGTGGAGGACACAAAATGTGGGACAGATAAAACAAATGAACAAGCCCTTGTAGTCCAAATATATATGCAACACCCAGCTTGCTTTTCAACTCCTTCAACTGACACGTTTGCAGAACTTGTCTGAGAGTGGCCAAGATGATGTTACTGAGTCAGAGCAGGGCTATAGTCCACGTGTTTTACATGCAAATTCTTATTTTCTGTATTTCAACAAGTCACACGTGCCACTGTGCACATCTCTTTCACCAGCAGAATCATGACTATTAAAAATCCATTACACATTTATATCTGTGTTACATCTGCGCCAGTTGCGATATGCTGAGATAGATCACAGTGTGTGACCATCATATTGTTTCGACAATCCAGTTCTTCCCTTAATTATATTTGGGAATCAAGCAGCTAGCCTACTTAACTTGTGTATTTCTGTTTAGATATCTCAGTGTATCATTACTTAAAATAGTAAAATACTATTATCTGGAATTTCTAGAACAGAAAAGTTCAACAGAAAACTATGTGACCAGAAGTGAGTGAATTTATGATTTTAGTAAACATTACATGGTGCGATCTTTAACTTTAACTGGTTTGGGGAATGTACAAGTGTCTGAAACAGCGAAAACATCCAGGACATAAAAGAGCTGACATGGATTTATAGGGGTGAAAAAAAGACAACTGCAGTGTTTTTCCATACTCTGCATGCTGTCATCTGTGGATCCCCGGCTTCAGCCATATGTTTAAGATTAGATGTACTCTTTTGTTGGAGGAGAACACAGTCAACAAAGTTCTGCTGCCTCTCCCTCTGGTCATGAATCAACTGGGCTCTGTCCACACTCTCTCCTTATGGTCTTAATTCTATTAAACACAATGATAACACATTTACAGTACGATGATGATGATCGCATGAATAATGTTCCTCTTAATATTTGTGGGCACGTGTTTTTGTTCTGGGGATGTTTGTGTTTAAACTTTGAGAGAAGAATTGGAAAAATTAGAATGACTGGACTGTTTTGTTGATACTTATTGTGCGTATGTATGTGCTTTCACCCCCACACTCTGTGCTACCTGTTCTGTTTGATGTGAATAATTAAGAGTAATTACATATTACAAAAGTTGTAGTAAATGATCCAGTGATTAAAAATGTATTTATTTGAATTCTTGGCCACTTGGGGGCAGCAGATTAAATTGATAATCCAGTACTGACATATTATCTGTTATTATATCATTTGTTTAACTGAAAATGGGAATTCAATCATCAGTAACGTGTTACCTTTCCTTTGTTCTTGAAGAGAGAAGAACACACAGAATAATTTGTAAACAACAGAGATTTGCAAACAGCAAAGTCAGCATTAGTTCTTACCGTGCTTCAGAGCTCTGTTTTGTCTCATAAAATATATAATCCCTAGTAGTTTAAAAGAAATACACTGGATCTTTAGCTTCCAAATGCTTCACTGTGTTTACTTGCTAGATAACACACTTTATCTGTTTGCCATTAGAGGCAGGCCAGGTAGTGTTCGCCTGGTTTGTAATGCAAACAGCTGTCTGATGGTGCTGAATGTGGGTCACAAAAACAAGAACAGTTCGGACTAAATGATCCAGCCTTTAAAACTAACAGGATGGTACAAATAATTGAAGTTAGTTATATGTTTGTGGATCCCTATGATCGGCCCATTTACTTGAAACCAGCTCAAATGAAACATCCAAGATATCAAACCAGAAGCCTACCTCACTAAAGCCACTTTCTTTATGTGTCGTCATATCTGTATTTCTATTGTACTTTAATGATATGTTCCTAGATATGCCACTTAGACTGCTAACACCTCAATAAGACCTTATAGGCTTTCCTTTTATTGTCTTAGTAGGTGTGCAACTCTTGATTTGTATGCTTTTAGCAAAGTTACCAATGTCACTAGCTGGCAGAGCACTGTTGGTTAAATAGACCTACTCTACTGTTGCTCAACCTCAATCAACCCTTGTCCACCAAGAACAGCCTTTTCACTGTTATTCTTTAGTGGTATTAAATATAATCACTTCTATTTAAACGATATTATGAACTCAGCCAAAATTGGATTAAAAAAAAAATCTGCCTGTGATATGAGCCACATCCCTCATATCACAGGCAGAATCTATTAAACTCAGGTACTGACCCAGATCACTGTCTAAAAACAAAACCCATGGTGTCTTTCCATGAGACTACTCAAAGACTAACGATCTAAATTTTACAAAATTGCATTTGGAAGGTGAAATAATGGCAAATTCAGAATTTGTGTGGTTTCATTTGGCTTACTTTCTCTACAGTTGGGGCAGCCATGATAGAGGTTAGCACGGCTGCCTCACAACAAGAAGATTCCTGGTTTGAACCTCCTCAGCAGCTGTAGCCTTTCTGTGGGGTTTGTATGTGCTCTCTATGTCTCTGATGATGCCATCGACTGCCTTTAGTCTCCAACAAGTAAGGCGTGCTTGTTAGGTTAACTGATGATTCTAAATTTGGTATTTGGTGCAACTTATCCAAGGCGTGTCATCTCTTTCATACAATATCCGCTAGAATAGTCTCCAGAAGAAAGGGGAAAAAAAGATTATTGCAGTTTGAATCAAAACTGCAAATGTAGTCTCCTAAATACATGAAATATAGCTACTGTTACGAACACCAAGGAATAACTAAATCTAATATGGTCAAAATAATGTGTTACAGAGTATTTTGGAAAGATCCCATGTTTAGTAATCTTTTCTGGCTCAAACTAGAAAGTACGTTTGACTCCTCCTTTATTCACACCAGAGCAGGGCTCTGTATGTTTGATTTGGCAGATTTTTACACCAGATTCCTTTCCTGACACAAGCCTGAGGGATTTTTAGACCTCCTCCCAGGACTAAATGAGGGATATTTTTCTTTTTAGGCAAATATGTAAAACAGCAAACTATGAATCCACTTTTCACAATAAGAATAACACATTTTAAAGGACTTTTTAAAGTACTGCTACATGAGTAGGTTCACAGTATAGCTTAGAAAATGTTAACCCCTGCAGCGTAGAGGTCAATAAAGTTAATTAAATGAAACAACATGGCAGACTTAATATAGAAAAAGCAGTTAGTTCCAACTCAGATAATGGCCCACTTAGCACAGAGAGCTTACTAATTAAAAGAGCAGAAAAATTATAATGCAGTTACCTAAATAGGGTCAACTGGTTGGTTGTTTAGCTTCAGTGGTAACTTCTCAGCTGTTAGACAATTATGAGCAAAGAAGGCTGATGTTGTTTTTCTGTAATAATGGGCATTATTTTCACTTTTATGTGTTCCTCCTACAGAGAAAATAGGCCTGATCTCTCCCTTTGTGGTTGCTCCAACTGCTCACTTCTACCACCCACACAACACATTTTCCCAGGCAACAATGTTCCTACAAAGTTTACACACAATAAATAACGATATGCCCAAAGCAGTTAGCAGTGGCCCCGCTCTCCGTTTCCTGGCTGGAGTTGAAATGAAATGGTAATTTTGACTTGAGGAGGATTTCAAAGGGATGGCCTCTACTTTTCATCTTGGTGCATACCACGAGCTCGCCGACACATTCACGCTGGGATTTGAGGAAAGAAAGAAGAAGAGAAAAAAAGGCCGAATTTTAAGTTTTTCTATGAACTTCCTTCTTTCTTTTTACTGCCATCTCCCCACAGAAAAAGAGATGTAACATTGTTGAGATCTCTCCCCCAGATGGACAGCATTTATATAAACAACCACCCCCGGTTCACAGAACATTTGATTGATGTGTCATTGTCCAAAGATTGTTTCCAGGCATTTGAATAGATAATTCAGAGTATTTGATGTAGACATTTTTCTTCAAAGAGCCAAAGGTCAGATGTGGGGGTAGAGCAAGGGTGTCCTCCATCTCCCATGCTATTTTTGCATCCAAGGCTCCAACTAGCTTGTCTGCTTCTCACAGGGGAGATTGACTGACACTTGAATCATTCTTCTGCTTAAGATTACAATGTGGCTTCCAAAACTCTGTCGAAAAAGAGATCTCCCTGCAAACTAATGCAAATACCTTTGTCTGAAACAGCAGACCGTAACACTGTTTGGATGTTTCTTGTGTCTCTTTGTTTTCTAGTTCAGCCTACAGTCAGATAGACTGGAGCGAGACCAAAGATACAGTGGATGGATTGAGGAAGAACTCCATTATCTCAGCAGCAAGGAATAAGAAATGGAATTAAAACAGCCGAAACAAGGTTTGTCACACCTCAGCAACGCTGGCTCCTATCTTCCAGAGGGTACTACACTATACAAAATGGGCTATGGCCATTTTCTCATATGAACTTAAGACGATATCAGGAGAATGACGTTTTTTAAAAGAAATCCATAGTTGTTCTTTCTTATTTGTAGCACACAGCAGGAGATAGTCTGCTTCAGCCACTATTGCATTATTGGAAATACACAGTGTGGATCTGGTAAAGAAACCACTTGAAAGGATCTTGCCCGAGGTAGCACCAGACTGTTCTCTGTACTGTTAGCATATCAACTCAGCCCTACACGACACAGACTTTGTGTTAGAGGGCTGACATGTT